ACACGTAAACTTATGTAGCATGTACTTATTTGATCATGCAGTGCTTCTCCAAGATTTCAAATTGGCCCCCTCCTTGAAATCTGTATCCATCTTCAGTAACTTACCGTATTCACATAATCGTCTCCCAACGCGTCAGGACACATCACATAGAGGTTGATAAGCAAAATATTATCTGCAAACATAAAGTCACCTCTCAAAAACCGAACCAAAAGCATTTATCAGAAAAAAAATTATCGAACGTAAATTAATCAAACAGTTGATTAAACATCTTTCTTGATTTTATAATTTTTCTGTATAGCTGCATTTTACTGATACTGCCTCCACGGCACATATCAGTCACTGAATGATCATTAACTTTGGGTGCAGTAAGCGAATAGTCCAGTTAACTTGTTTGTGTTGATGCGCGCTTCGTCAATTAGGGATCACAAGAAGCGNGCGCCAGGAATAACCATTGCTGCATACGTTTGTTCTAGTTTAACCCCGAGAGGACAGCCCCATTTTGTATTAAAAAGGGCTTGTAAGGATATTAGTTACACGTCAAAGAGCAAACATATACAAAGTTCTTCCAGTTGACTACAGTTGCCCGTGCAACTGGAGGGCAGCACCTGGGCGTCATCTTGATTAATTTGGGCGACCAAGTCGTCGGGAAAAAAATACCATACTTATTTGGTAAACACGACAGCGGGATAGGATTCGTCTCTAGCCTCAGAAAACCTTGAATTGGGGAGATGACGAATGACCGACAGTTTGCGATTAACTGTATCAGAATAATTTTGTCATACGGTACACACGCATACACCAGGTCTAATGATAACGGGACTGATCAGAACAAGCTAAAACTGTAAGCAGTGTGATCGCTAATCGTCAAGCAACCCTACGCTTAAATGGTGCTGTATGAGAATGGATACACAGCCATTATTAAAGAGAGAAGAGCATAGGAATGGTAAACTAGGGATAGGGTACACCTATCATGGAGATTTTAAAAGATCTAGTGGAATCCATCATTTATCAAGTTTGATAAAACGCACCTGCCTGCAAATTGCAAGATCTAAAAGGCATTAAATTGGTTTCAGAGACTTAACGTTTCGTTTGCTCTAGGCATGAATACTACTCTGAAATGGTGTGTATAATTTTCTCTGCCAATATGGTGTACATATGATCATGCAATAAAAAAACATGCAAATTAATTCGAGCACGGCACGATGACAAACATAATTTTGGTTTAGATGTGGGATTTTGTCCTCTTTTGATGGGGATTGCAAGCATGCGGAAATGCGTTCGGATCACTGACTTTGATTAAGTACTTTATACGTAGTTGTTCCAGTCAACGATAATCGGGATCATTGGGGTCCCATGGTGAAAGCCTGGATACCCCAAAGAAAACTAAATGTGAGCAAAGTTTCTTCAACCCTCTCTAGGATCGGTCACACCTTACCCAGCTCCATGTTTCTTCTAATCTGACCATACCTGCAAATACGTCGCAGTGTGGTAGACGTTGTCGAGGCATTCATCGAATGAGTATTAGCGCTCTCAGGCAGTGCCATGAAATGATCAGGCCTAATGTAGGATATGTTGTCTGACCACATCGTTACCAACACAATGCTCACACCACAAGCGAGTGATGCAGAAAACCGTAATATAAAAAACGGATAATGGTTGGCCATGATTTGTTCGGGAGGCCAACTTGGGAACCGTGGAACAACAGAGCTTTTATACACACCTGTGAAATAAAAGTGGAAGACTACCAAACGATGCCAGAAAACAAGGGTGGACTGCGCACTATTGTATGCAAGGGTGGTGGTGGGACAGTGGTTTAGTCGCTGTAACCAGTATGATAGACGCCAGTCGTCGGGCAAAGGTAGCGACAAAATTCCTTCAGTCACACTTAGAATACGGTTTACGGTTTGCAGAACTCATCAAACCACACGCGGGCCCGCGTTAAGCAACAAGCAAACTCGCCATGCCAAGGGCACATCGAGTACGAACTGGACGGCTGTAGAACGAATAAAACTAAACACAGTGTAACTGTTTTCCTATCGGTATCACCTATTTAGGAACAACTATCCTCAAAAAGTAACCCGAAATAAACACACACTTCATTGGAGCTGCTTATTTTCAAGCGAACAGTGAACAATATAACCAGTTTGCGGTCAGATACAAGCTGTTGATATTCGCGCCAGAAATGAAATCATGAAATCACTTCCGGTTGCACCTCCTTCTGGTCCTAGTTATTCCATAATTGTCTCTTCCTAAAAGAAGTTTCACATAAATTGCATTCTGCATGATAAGTCAATCAAGTGGAGGAGAATAGACTTTCATAGATCTACTCTCTCGGTGGTTGAGTGACAGTAGAAAGGGTGCTCCATGAATAAACGGTGTAACTTCAGCAGTTTGAGTCGATATGAATTACATATCCTTAACTGATGCTCGAAACCCACTCCATCCACCCCCGTTCCCACTTTCCATCTTTCTAGAGGCCTTTTCGGGCCGTCGCATCAAGTCTTAAGTTTTAAGATGTGGTGGTTTCTCGTTAATACCACTAATATTCCACCTGATACCCATCAGAGGGTCCACAGAAAATTCAATCCTGTGATCCGAAACCGGAAATACTTGTACTGTGACTTCCTCCCAAAATTGTTCTAGAAATATTACCAAAATCCTATTAGGAGGTTATTTTCAGTTCAAATTAGTAATCGAATGACTACCTGTGTACAGATTTGTTTTCCAAAACCGACCAGCGCAGTTAAAGTCAATTTATTGTTCTTGTGTATAANAATATCACTAAAAAGAGGATAACCAGGTAGTGAAATCAAACGGCTCCCTAAGATAGGCATTCTGAATGGTCATCAGATAGGCATATTTCACTCCGTACAGACAGCTTTCAGCGAACTATTCACCGCATCACCGATACCCACCCCATCGTACGAATAGCCGACCAAATGCACACGATTTGCACCATGTACTTTGAGTTCCTCACGTAGTGCCTTATTGTTATCCAAATGATCGACTGGATGTTGTGTTATACAGTCTCGATAGAAACCCACAAGTCGATCGACAACACGCGGATTTGAAAGATCTAAATACTCTCGCAAGACATCATTTTCTTCCGCCTCAAGTTGTTTGGAAACAGGCTGAGGTTCCGTAGCGTTCATATCCAACCATTTCAGTGTATTTCATCATGACTGTGTAACGAACAAAAGCATGCAGATTGTCCAGTTGAGGGACAACGACTGGATCGTAGATCACGCCAAGCATATGGCCATCCACTGGTCTGGGAACCAAATGACCAAACACACGAACCGGGTGAAGTGCAGACATTTGAAACTGTAGCACTAAAACAGCCACGTTTACCCAAAGCAAATGAGATTTCTCTAGACGTGTACCAACATCCGGTTTTAGCATTCCTCCGAAAGGGATGGCATCCTGGAAAGACGGACAGCCAAAAAATCTGTAGTTACGTACTGTATTCGGGCTGCGCTAGTATTTCCTGACATTCAATCCACATGTAGAGCGTTTGCACTGGTCGGGTGAATTTTGCAGACCGAGTTATTCGCATGCACATGCACCAGGCAAAACTGACTTCTTCTCATCTGCCGTTCGGCCCACCGAAACAAACAGAACATCATGATGAGGCCCAAGTGTTTTGATTCCACCAATTGGTAGAGAGATAAAAAGAAAACAACAAAAAACTGGCTGATAACTCTGCAAAATGAGAAAGTAAACTATCCATGTATCCACGTATCCACGTATTACCGTGAAGAAATCGCGTGTATACAAAATCGATTCAAAGGCACAAATTATCACAAAGATCAGTGCTTATTTTTAGAGAAAGTCGACCAGTAACAGTAATGAAAGTTGTCCTTTTATTCTCCTGGAACCAGCTAAAGTATTTGATCAACATCCAAAAGTAACAAGCTTCAGCTAATTGCCTGAAAATGTGCATTGGACAGACCAGTTTTCCGCATCCAGTGCAGGTGCGAGGCCACAGCAGAAACGCCCAGTGGTGTATTACTCCAGTATATATGTTGTCATATAGTATGCAGTACTAGGAGACATAAAGCAAGCACCAAACCATCAGTACTTTTCTTTACGATCCAGGCGTCAACAAGGTTAAATGCAACCATTCTTTAATTTTGGACCATCGGTTTGAATTTTTTGATCGCATCTTCAGGGAAAATTACCAAATCGACAGTTTGTCTGTGTCTCCTATAGCTGCGATAGTAAATCCTTTAATCTGTTAGAAAATCGGCTTCTTTGTGTGCACAGTCTATTCATAAATTGGAATAGTACTTTAAAATACAAGGACTAGGGTAATCCTAGCCTAACATGTAATCTAGCATGATTGATTCACAGAATCACGAATGGAGCGCGTTTTTACTCTCCGTCTGAGTACACTGTGAATTGCCACATCACACATCTGAAAACGGCAAAACACAAAACTTTGATTTTTTGACCTGTACCTAGGTATTCCATCCTGGTTTTTGCCTTGATACATCATGAATTGCGGAATGAACAAAGTAAACGGGCTATAGTTAAAACTAATCAGTAAAGCATAACTCTATTTCTATCTGTTAGTAGCTGTTTCGATTTAAGGGGTTTTAATGACAACATGAGTCATATTTATCTTGCGGACCAAACCAAGCAGATAAAGCGCGTTGTGTTACTAATACAACTTCAAACTAAAATTGGATCGCAATTAGATGATGGAATGAATGATACGTCCCTTCGCTTTCGCCATCATTGAAATCAAAAGGTCATCTCCAACTGTGGCTCTGGAGGTGGGCAAGCTGGAAGCACATCAGATGACCACAAATGTGATACGTTTCCCTCAGTCCGAGAATACACAGTTCATTAGGATCGAGAATGTATTTTGTAACCCATAATGCAGTGCAAATATCAATGCCACTTTTATCATCATCACAGTAAACACGCACGATCGGAACAGGTAGATGAGTAAATCTTCGGAATGAAGTAGAGAAGCAGGCAATAGTTTAAACGTCTTTTTGAATGATATACCTGAAGACTCAGGAGAAATCAGCACCACCATAAGGACAAAGGCGAAACGCGAAAAAATCCTTTCAATATCTCGCTTCGGGCCTTTACATATATAGTTCCATTAGTCAGTAGAATAAAACATGGCCTGCGCTGAAGTTGAGTGGGTGTATGTTTGCAAAATGTTCGATTGACAACAAACGATGGAGCCACACTAATTGAATAGGGAAAAACCATTTTACAAAAAAGCGGTGGGAAATATGAACTAAATGTAGCAATATATTGAAAATCATCCATCGTTTAAAAAATGTAGTTTGTTTAGTTATGATTATAAGATCTCCTATTTGAAATTATATTGGTAACTAACAATCACATTATACTCGAGGGATGTTTCTGGTTGCAAATTGAGTGGTGCCCAAATGGAATACTCACACAATCAAAGTAGATAATTGTGGCTTGGTAGATTTGAAATTTGTAGGGAGATTGCGAAGAGTTTAGTAACCTTGGTGGGATTCGAACCCACGCATGGACGCTGCCAACGCTTTGTACGCGCACGCTATAGCAGCTGAGCTACAAGGTCACGTAGATCATTTCCCATTGCCGCGTCTCCACGTCATCTGCTCGCCTCTCCCAGATTCCTGCAGGCTGCGACTGCCACTACGAATAAGGCCCGTTAGAGTAGGCGACCGTCGGACATGCGCAAAACGTGTCCTAACGAACGGAGCCGAATGAGCCAAATTCCATGCGACAGCGAGTTCTTGTTTGATGCATTCTCAAACACCCGTTGACCTACATCTGAGGTAGTAACCCACTCATTCCATCATACTTGGAACAGAATGCGTAAATATCGATTGACGAAAAACACTGGGCGACGGATGTCTTTTCACGCTGCTGGAGACTTGGAAATGTGGAAGGTTATCTTCTTTGATGGGCTATTGTTCCTGGTCGCGCAGCTACCTAAGAACGAGATGCAGAAATGAACAGCGGGCAAGGTGAACTTCATATTCACTCCACTCCATAGTCCCAGGATCAGGAATAGCCAGCCATATGTGAAATTCGCTGGTTTAGGCATGGTATTGAAGCCGACAACATCCCAACTGCTTACGATCAAGACCGCATCTTCATGATGTAACAATGCATTTATTATCCATCCCTATCAGCCTAATGAATGAAATCATGAAACGAAAGATTCATTGTTAACGACTATACGCCTGTTATCTGTAAGAAACAAATTGCTGTTATCCGATTGATTATTCGTTTAAAGTTAACTTGATACGCAATTCCGGTCTTGGACGTTTTCCACACGTAATTACGTCAACCTCTTAACAAAATGACGATTTCGTTCGACAGGGGTATTCAGTTGAAAGTGAAGGATGAGATAGAATCCCTAAAATTAAAGACCAATGTAAAACAAGTCACTGCCTACCCATGTCAGCTATTTCAGTACCCAGTGAGAGTTGGTAACGTCCATTGAGTAAGTCGTGTAGCTTTAAGCATCCAGATAATATTTGATAAAACAAGTGGATTTTGAAAAGATCTTTGTGTAGCAAAGAGCACCGTCTATCTTTTTAGACTACATTCTATTGGCCACTTAAAATCTCTATTCCTCTCTACATAATCAAGTATGCGGTAATTATTATACAAGTGAAACACTCAATACTCCTCCCAGCTCGCCTCATCTCAATCAGTGACTTCTTGGAGTGTGGTGCAGTTTTTCGGCCGGTCTGGATGAAATTCGCAAGAAATCGCACCCTCTAAAAAATGAACAGCTCGTACGACAGGGGTATTCAATGACGAAGAAAAAGATGATCTACGGTCTTCAAAATTAAATATAATTGTAAAACCAATCACTGTCTACCCATGCCAGCTATTACAGTACTCAGTGATAATAGGTCACGTTCCGTTTTATAAATCCTATAGCCTTTAATATTGAGATCATATCGGTTGAAAAGGTGGATTGCGATCAAGTGCTGAGGGAGCAAAGCACCAACAATTGATTTAGGTTTGATTGAATTGGGCACCAAAAACCCCTCATCCCCTCCATATAATCAGGTATTCTGTAAGTAGTAGACAGGTGGAGCACTCAAAAACCATGCCAATTTGCTTGATCTCAATCGGTGACGTCTCGGAACTTACCACAGTTTGTCGTCTGGTGTGACTGAACTTCGGCAAAAATCACATGCTCTTCCGTATATCTGGTAAGAGGTATTTCGCTACGTAGTATATCGTCCCGGGAAAACTGAAATTACCCTATTAGGGTTTTCTAAAAAATCGTGAAAAGCTCAGTGACAAAGCACCTGCATCTGACTCGCAGTCATGTCACCAGGGGTAAATGTTGAAGACATTCAGCAAACTGTCGGTATGTTTATTGTTGTTATATAAAGGCCTTGCAAGAGAAATAAAAGGGTGGCCGCTAATATAGAAAGATTTTGAATAGTTCTGAAAAGTTGCCGAGTGTTTCCACGCCTAGCTGCTGATTACATCTACTATGCACGTAGCGTTCACCAGGTTTCCTGGTCATCTCTCGAAATTGTTTTGAGTTCATGCGCTGTTCACTATACTCGCGGTCTCCCGGGTTTACCCGACGCGTGTCAAAACGTCCGAGAAAATTGGGAGAGACCCAGGGATTTACAAATCGACAAATCGGGTCACAACTCTGTAGAATTTCTGAGTCTATTGCGTTTTGAATTGTTGTCCAGTGGAAATCTACGCTTCTTGGTGGGGTAGTAGTTAGCCTTGTAGCCAACTCGTTTTGGTAATCAGCTGGTATGGTCAGAGAGTTTGACAACATCGAGCTCTTTGAATTGTATCTTTTTGCGGCCACCAAGTCGCAGCGATAACTCAGTACAACGTTGAAGTCATAGCAGGTAGACCAATAAGAACGGGAATCTTTCACACACCTTCTCCATCCATAGCTACTAGCTGTATGGTCATTCTGATTACACAGATGTGATGAAAAGGGGTACGCCAATTGGCGAGGTATAACGTTTGGTGTCTGAAGTTTGCACTAACGAGTAACAGATCATTTTCTGACCATACGCTAAGAAGTCTATGCTCATTATCTGAATAACAGCTATCAAGGCCACCAAGATGGGTTTCATCGAGTTACAGATGGCCAAAACTTGCGGTCAGTTTGCTGACCAGCGGCACCATACTCGTC